ATATTCATCAGACTTTCAGCTGATATTCATCAGACATTCAACTGATATTCATCAGATATTCAGCTGATATTCATCGTACATTCAGCTGATATTCATCAGACATTCAGCTGATATTCTTCAGATATTCAGCAGATATTTATCAGATATTCATCAGACTTTCAGCTGATATTCATCAGATATTCAGCTGATATTCATTGGACATTCAGCTGATATTTATCAGCTATTCAGCTGATATTCTTCAGACATTCAGCCGATATTTATCAGATATTCAGCTTATATTCATCAGATATTCATCAGACATTCAGCAGATATTCATCAGACATTCAGCTGATATTCAGTAGACTTTCAGCAGACATTCAGCTGATATTCACCAGACATTCAATAGATATTCATCAGATATTCAGCTGATATTCAGCTGATATTCATCAGACATTCATCAGATATTCATCAGATATTCAGCTGATATTCAGCTGATATTCAGCAGACTTTAAGCAGATGCACCGCAGATATTCATGAGGTACTCATCTCTCAAAAAGTTGCAGTTTCTTTCATATTGTTTTAATATTTAAGTGCTTTTTTGTCTCTTGGTGTTGATGAACTATTTCTTATGTTTAGTTTTTCGTGTTTTTATGTCCTTTTGTGTCTCATTCTTGGTTACGTGTCCCTCTGTCCTCAGGGTGGACATAGTCCGGGACCTGCAGTCCTCCAGGACCAGTGCTCTGTGTTACCTGACGGCAGGTGGAGGTTTGATTCATGGGCTGCAGTCCTACCTGTTGGCAGGAGGGGGGCGCTCCAGTCCGGGAGGATCCAGCCTCCCCACAGACTCTCCTCCCTCTCACCCTCCCACTGAGGAGGAGATGGAGGAGGACTACTACAGTAACGCCGTCCACCCGGGACTCTTCCAGCAGATCTACGGGCACCCTGGAAACCCCTACAGTCAGTTTGTTCAAACATTATGATCGAACATTTAGAGTTTTTGTGTCAAGAGTCCCAAATATTCAGGACTTCAGTTCCCCAAATATTCAGAAATTCAGTGTCCCAAATATTCAAGACTTCATTGTCCCAAATATTCAAGACTTCATTGTCCCAAATATTCAAGACTTCATTCTCCCAAATATTCAGAAATTCAGTGTCCCAAATATTCAAGACTTCATTGTCCCAAATATTCAGGACTTCATTGTCCCAAATATTCAGGACTTAAGTGTCCCAAATATTCAGGACTTAAGTGTCCCAAATATTCAGATCTTCATTGTCCCACATATTCAGGACTTCAGTTTCCCAAATATTCAGGACTTCAGTTTCCCAAATATTCAGATCGTCATTGTTCCAAATATTCAGGACTTCAGTTTCCCAAATATTCAGGTCTTCATTGTCCCAAATATTCAGATCTTCATTGTCCCAAATATTCAGGACTTCAGTTTCCCAAATATTCAGATCTTCATTGTCCCAAATATTCAGGTCTTCATTGTCCCAAATATTCAGGTCTTCAGTTTCCCAAATATTCAGGTCTTCAGTTTCCCAAATATTCAGGTCTTCAGTTTCCCAAATATTCAATACTTCAGAGTCCCAAATATTCAGGACTTCGGTTTTCCAAACATTCAGGACTTCAGTTTCCCAAATATTCAGATCTTCATTGTCCCAAATATTCAGGTCTTCAGTTTCCCAAATATTCAGTACTTCAGTTTCCCAAATATTCAGGACTTCAGAGTCCCAAATATTCAGGACTTCAGTTTTCCAAACATCCAGGACTTCAGTGTCCCAAATATTCAGGTCTTCATTGTCCCAAATACTCAGATCTTCATTGTCCCAAATATTCAGGTCTTCGGTTTCCCAAATATTCAGTACTTCAGTTTCCCAAATATTCAGGACTTCTGAGTCCCAAATATTCAGGACTTCAGTTTTCCAAACATTCAGGACTTCAGAGTCCCAAATATTCAGGACTTCAGAGTCCCAAATATTCAGGACTTCTGAGTCCCAAATATTCAGGACTTCAGTTTTCCAAACATTCAGGACTTCAGTTTTCCAAACATTCAGGACTTCAGAGTCCCAAATATTCAGGACTTCAGAGTCCCAAATATTCAGGACTTCAATGTCCCAAATATTCAGGACTTCAGAGTCCCAAATATTCAGGACTTCAATGTCCCAAATATTCAGGACTTCAGAGTCTTTATTTTGGTTCATGGACCCCTCATCCTGTGGGACTTTAAATTCAGGACCTCCAAACCCTTACAGGTCTTGATTCAGAGGACTCAGAGCTTTAGGGTTAGAGTAATGTTTCATTGCAGTAAATAATTTGAAAGATTTGTGTTTGTTTTTTTGACTCCGCCCCCTCTCCTCTCCTGGCTCTTCATTGGTCCAGTTCAAGAGAAGCTGGAGCTGCTGCCCCTCCCCCTGGCTAACGAGCGGCGTCCCTGTGTGCTGGTTGGTCGGGACAACATGGCGCTGCCTGCCAGTCTAATCAGTCAGATCGGGTATCGCTGCCACCCGTCGCTCTACACGGAGGGAGACCCCGGGGAGAAGGTGGAGCTTGTTGCAGGTAAGGGTCAGCGGAGGGCTTGTTAAGTTGTTGTCATGGCAACGAGCTCGGTACAGATTTACTCTGATGTGTTGCTCTCAGGTTCAGGTGTGTTCATGACCAGAGGTCAGCTGATGAACTGTCATCTGTGCGCCGGAGTCAAACACAAGGTGCTGCTCAGGAGGCTGCTGGCCACGTTCTTCGACAGGTGAGCTACTTACCTGTGGGATGTTACCTGTGGGATGTTACCTGTGGACTGTTACCTGTCGTCTTTTACCTGTGGGCTGTTATTTTTGGTCTCTTACTTGTGGTCTGTTACTTGTGGTCTTTTACTTGTGGTATTTTACTTGTGGACTGTTACCTGTGGACTGTTACCTGTGGGCTGTTACCTGTGGGCTGTTACCTGTGGGCTGTAACTTGTGGTCTTTTACTTATGATCTGTTACTTGTGAGCTGTTACTTGTCATCTTTTACTTGTGGGCAGTTATTTGTGGTCTTTTACTTGTGGTATTTAACTTGTGGACTGTTACCTGTGGGCTGTTTCTTGTGGTCTTTTACTTGTGAGCTGTTACTTGTGGATTGTTACCTGTGGGCTGTTACTTGTGGTCTTTTACTTGTGAGCTGTTACCTGTGGTATTTTACTTGTGTGTGTACCTGTGGTCTTTTACTTGTGGGCTGTTACCTGTTGTATTTTACTTGTTAGCTGTTGCTTGTGGTCTTTTACTTGTGTGTGTACCTGTGGTCTTTTACTTGTGGGCTGTTACATGTGGTCTTTTACTTGTGAGCTGTTACTTGTGGTCTTACTTGTGAGCTGTTACTTGTGGACTGTTACCTGTGGGCTGTTTCTTGTAGTCTTTTACTTGTGAGCTGTTACTTGTGGTCTTACTTGTGAGCTGTTACTTGTGGACTGTTACCTGTGGGCTGTTTCTTGTAGTCTTTTACTTGTGAGCTGTTACTTGTGGTCTTACTTGTGAGCTGTTACTTGTGGACTGTTACCTGTGGGCTGTTACTTGT